TATGAAAATTAACACTCATATTTTTTAAGAAATACATAGTCTCATTGGATGACAAATTAAGCTGGACACTAATGCTATTTGAATATGTCTTGGAAGTTGGTTTCAGCCATATATGGATATATCAAGGTTAAATGGTTAAAAATGGAAGTTATGTAATACTATAAATAATTGTGATGATCATGAAAGAATTATATATATAGATGTTGTGGTACGTTTGCAGATAATGATCCGATATTACATACCTTTATATAGCAGCCAATTAATTGTTTTGTCATTCATTATATAAATGTTCATACTAAATCACTAATTTTCAAGAAATGTTTTGTTAAGAATATTTATTTTGCTTTTTATCAGTATTTGAAATATTCTTTGATTTTTTTTCATTGTAGAACAATCAAATCTGCATAATATATATTCTTTGAAGGACAAAACACAGCTTCACATTTTGACAGATTAAATTGTTTGTTTGTTGTTGTTGTTGTTGTTGTTGTTTTTTGTTGTTTTTTTGTTTTTTTTTGTTGCTGTTGTTGTTGATTTTTTTCTTGCATTACATTGGGTCATTATTGATACGCCCAAATCTATTTTTACATCTGATATATACATACAGTGTTGCCCTCACATGGTCACATGACTGTTAATCATTATTTATTCAAACAAATGTATTTATTTGTCATATGTTTTTGCATTGTAAATATGCGAATAAGGTTGCTGTCTTTGAACATATTGAGTTATAACAGTATAGAACCTTATACGGTGGCACAAAGGTGACATTTGCCACGAGATACTATGTCGTGGCTACGAGTTACTATGTCGTGGTCATGAGTTACTAAGTCGTGATCACGAGATAGCTAAGTCGTGGCCACGAGATACTATACGACTTAGTAACTCGTGGCCACAACATAGTATATCGTGGCCACGACTTAGCTATCTCGTAACCACGACTTAGTAACTCGTGGCCACGACATAGTAACCCGTGGCCACGACTTAGCTATCTCGTGGCCACGACTTAGTAACTCGTGGCCACGAGATAGTATCTCGTGGCCACGAGATAAATAAAAACACACACATGTCACCACCGTAACCTGGCTTCAAGGTTTTAAAACTTTTTTTGAGTTCTGTCCGAAATTTCATGATTTTCATTGTTCAATGAACATTTTCTGGCAATTTCTGACCAATCAAATGCCTCAGATCTGAATAAGAGCTATGAAAATTTCTTTATAACCTAGACCCTGGTCAGATTGCACGCATTTGCTTAATGCCAATATTTCGACTGCAAGGCAACAATTTCACAAACTGATATTACAAAAATGTCGGTCTTTGCGAATGGCGACTGTCGTATAAGTATGTAACATGTATATATAATAAAGGCAGTTTGTTGGGTTAGAAATCCCTGGGCCTTGTTCTTTACTAGGCAATTTTCGGTTCCATCAAGTTAAGAGCCATTACCGACAATTAAAAAAATAATTCACACGAATCTTCAGCCATTATATCAGAAAAGGTTTTGCATTTTTGCTTTATCATCTATCATTTTCCATTAATGTTATATGTAAATACTGTTCAATAATCCATTTGTATCATCGTATGACACTTTGCTACTTATACTGTGTAGTAACGCAATCACTTCATCGTTTATTGTAAGCCTGTTATTTACCCTGGCTATTTACCATATGCCAGCAGCGTTGAATATAATTCGATGGTCTCACAATAAAATGCAGGACCTTCATTTTTTTTCGATTTTGCATTTTCGCAAATTTCCGAAGCTTCAAGCGCTCCCGCTTCTTTTGCCAGACTCATATTGAAGTCAGCCAATCTTAACCTTCAAAATTCATGACATGCAGAAAAAGACGAACTTTCATCGGCCAACTCTTTAAAATTAGAAAATGCCGTAGCTGCCGGTGTTAAAATATGATGTTATATTCACCGGCAGAAAGTTAGATTCTCAGCCGGTGCTATCACATCATATTCAATGTATCACTAGTCATTAACTGAATATTATTACACGGAATATGTGCCGTGGTTTCTGACAATGGTATTATAATTGCAATCACATGAAGAAGATGTGTTTCTGTACAATGATATTTGTATAATATATCATAATATATATGCACAATTTTCTATATCAATTTATCTGTATGTTAAAAGTTTGTTTGTTTGTTGCTTTTCATATTGCTCTTAATTCTCAAAATTTATGTTGCGTGGACCATAGCATTAAGTGAAAATTAATGCTAATTTTGACTCAAGATGATGGCATATCAATATTTTCCTAACATAATGTCATTTTGACCAAACATAGTGTCAAATTTGCTTAACTTATGTCAAAGTGGCGTAATCAAATGCAAATTAGACCCAAAGTTTTCCCTCATTTTGATTCCATATGATGTCAGTTTGGCCCAAAATAATGTCTCTTTTATTCAAACCAGATGTTATATTGACTCAGGAGAGCAAATATTGAACTTAACCAAACGCAAACTTGACTCAACATATTGTTTACTAAACTCAATATAATGCCAATCTGACAGAAACTATTGCCTAGCAAATGCTAAGTTATCCAGAATAATTATCAGTCTAGCTTAACAATTTTAGGCAGTTGTGACGTTCCATAAAATAAAATTATTTATTTCTCGTGTGGTTTAGATATATTTCGTGGCATTAAATGATACAACCACACAAATCTTTGACATGCGTCCTTGCTATATTTAGTCAAATTATAAAATTATGAAAATGTCTAAACAACACCTGAAGAAGTTACTGTCTAGACACGACCGTCTAATGCGTGTTCACTTTTTTGCTCTCGCATATTTCATTTTATGACGGCCTTGGAAGAATCACCTGAGCAACGTAATGAAAATCTGTTAATTTTATATCTTCATCTTCTAATTTCGAACAAAAAATAATAATTGCACACATGGGTTTAGAAAAAAAAAAACAACAAATCAACGTGTTTTGTATTCCATTAATAAAACAGTCATTAATGTCATTATAAATTTGTTTCCACGCCACAAAATTAATCTCCTTATTACATTGAAGATTATAGTCTTAAATTGTATCATTTTTACAAGGTTTTTTTTTTTGAAGACGATCAAATTTTTTTATTCAATTCTTCTATTTTTTTTCTTTTTGAGATGACGGAGGGGAAGGCCAGTTTTGTGTAATTGTCGATAATAACTTCAAGAATGAAGTTTTGAGGGTATACTTTTTCAGATGAGAATCGACAGTGTACCTAAATAGGGTTGATTCTAGTAAGATATGAAATACATGTATTATAATGCATAGGGATATTTTGGGTATCTCTTGCCCATAAAACTAAAGCTACGGTCATGTGTGTATGTGGTAATCCGCCAAGCCTTTTGTTGCATTGGCTAATTTGCAATAACAAAAGTAAAGAGGCTTCCAGAACATGTTTTTTTTTTTTGTTTTTTTTTTTATTGTTGTTGTTGTTTTTACGGGGGTTATATAAAACCACCGGCTAACGCCCATGCCGTGTTGGTGTATCTATTTCTGGAATAGCGCAATGTTCCTTTAAAGATCCATTTTATCCCAAAAAGATATTATTTTCATATCTAGAATTTTTTTTTTCAAATTTTGGTGTTCTTTAAATGCTTTTGAAAAAATACTAATAAGCTATTTATCTGAACCACTTTTTTATTCTGTTGCATTCTGGCTGTTAGTACAGATATAGTGATTTAGTATTTTGTATGGAAGTGAAAATACTACCTCTTGTATACATTTTGCTACTTTTATAAAAAATATGATTTCACATAACACGCTATTTTCTTCAGGTAACAAACAACATGCTCTAAAAACCATAATTTAAAAGTTGTAAACCTCATGTGTGCCCTAAACTATTATCGCGTTTTAGACCTAGCGTGCCATTAATGCGGTAAATGGAATTCCCAAAGTTCTTGCACTAGCTAATTCGCGGGAAAATTAGAATAATTCGTAGTCCAGGTAGGCTCCAGATATGGTGTATATTTTAAGCATATGTACGTAGAATATATATACAAACACAAGAAATCGCCGCGCCATTAGTAGGACTCGTATAAACAATATTTGAGATTTGGAATGGAATTGGGGAGAATCTTTGAAACACTGACAATAAGCCTGCAAGAATAATCTCCCTTGAACCAATAATATTTCTTAACACATTATGTCTCAGGTATGTATAGATATTTTACTTCTATAGAAAGGGCAAACATGAACTTTATAACGTTTATATAATGGTTTTTAGAGCATGTTAGATACTCAAAAAGTGAAATAATTACTTTGTCGCAAAACGAAGCAAAACGTGAACAAAGTAGTATATCATTGACTTCCATACAAAATAATAAATACTTAATAACTGTAATAATTGCGAAAATGCAACAGACAAAAAAGAATATTCAGGTAATTTGTCAAAGTTTACAGTTTTGGAAACGATAAAAAGGCTTTTAAGAAATAAACACAAAAGAATAATGGACCTTAAACATAATGAGATAAAGTAAGATCACAAACGAAGTTATTTCGCGAAATGAAACAAAAATTATGAGTGAAATCATATGATGACGTGACAATGGGATAAAATTATCAATTAAACCGCGACTGTGTTTGAAAGAAATTGGCAAGGGTATGGTTTCTTTGTTTTTACGTTGATCTTATCAATTTTTTGGCCGGCAGTCATTCCACCTAACTGACTTTCCTGTTTAGCTATCAAGTAAGCCGCAAAAGACTGACTACTAAATTAATCCCACATGATTTCTAAATCAGCAGAAAAAAATTGAAGCTCAAATTCCTTATTCGTCTGATATTTCAATGTTTAACGACAAGAAAGTTATAAACGTTATGTATATACAAATTCATTTGATATTTGTACAAAAGTGCCATGATAACAAAAATCATAGTCACTGTTAAAAATAAAACAGAATGACGAATTTTTAGTGATTTAATCGTGAAATGCACAATTAATTTATACACAAATAACTAGGATTAAATGTATCATCGTGTCACTTCTTTATACATCACTTTTACATTCTAAGTTCAAAATCAAAGTTAATATTTCCAGTTAATGGTGAAACATCTAAAGTTGGTAAATAATTACTTCCGGTTGACAGGTGCCATCCAGCTGGTGACACGACAGGTCTTTCATGTTGGTAAGCACGTGACTCAAAGACGCAATCTCTTGAAGACGGGGATTTATCGTCGCTGATTCCATAACATTCGGTTTGGTTTGAAAAACGACAATTGCTGGATTTGAATAGCCTCTCTTCGGCCCAATTATCACTTCCGGTAAAGCGACAGGAAGTTAAGAATTCATTGGCATTGCCTATACTAGAAGGCGAATATTCACTGATATTGTTATCATCTTCAGCACTACATGTCTCTGTCTGTTCTGTGCATTGGTCTTTCCTCCTGTCTCTTCTTTCTTTTGCTCTTCGATTTTGAAACCAAATTTTAATCTGGAAAAAGATAATTATTATTCATTACGGTAAGTTATATTTCTTACGTTACATATATAGTCATATACATGAGCTCAAATGGCTTATTCGTCTGGTATTTCATAAAATGTACATGAAAATATCCAGTTCCTAAAAATGTTTCGTATCTTATAACTATCTATGTACATGTATAATGACATTAAAGAAATAATATGTACCTGTCTCGCAGATAATCCAAGTTCTTCTGAAATTCTCGCCCTCATCTCAATTGTTATGAACTTGTTTGTGTTGTATTCCTTCTCCAGACCCCGTCTTTGTTTATCTGAGTAAACTACTCTATACTTGTCCCTGGTTCTCGTCATACCTTCAGCTGGCTCCGAGCGTTTTCGCGAATAGAACGGATGACTTCGGTCTTTTCCGGGGGCAGATGATGACAGTTGAAGACTGCTTCCAGTGCCTGCGTTGAGTTCGCAAAGATTTTGAATACACGTTGGAGTTAAAGCCCACTGAAAGTTAGTCTGCTGGTTTTCATAATGATACTGGCGAGTATTTGGTAGATATGTCCCTGGTAAGAAATTATGTCCACTACTTGACACGTTACTTCCTGCAGTAGGTACAGGGCCATTACGACCTATTCCAGAATAATATCCGCTTGCAAAATATGATTCGTACGGATGCCTTTGTTTATTCATGACTTCACTTGTGTAAGGATGGAACCGATTGTGAACGAATGTTGATGCATTGGTCTGCTTTGCAGCATGCATAGAGTCAAACATGATTGAATTCTCTCCTCTTGAAAGCCCTATATTCATGTAGTTTTCATGTAGCATTGACATTTTCAGAAATAGTTTTAAGGTAATTTCACTATAACAATATTGTAAAATTAAACAAAAAGCTGTTTATATTCTTATCAATGTATGCAAAATGGTATGTTTGAAAACTAACAGAACTTTCAAGTTATATATACAATTTTAGGGGACAGATAAAAATCGAATTCACCCACTGAATCAATCAGTGACCCCCATATACTTGCTAGACTATGTTGGTTTCAGGGGTTAATTATTTTATTATAGTTTAAACCAATTTATTGTTTTAGTTAAACTGTGTAATGAAACGCTCGATTAATTTTACGATAAAATTTTATTTGAAAATGAATCAATTCGGAAATTACCGGAATTGCACGAACAATTTTGATAAATTGCATTATCGGGTAATTAACACGGCAAATGAATTGCAATTAGTGGTCTGCTTTTCTTTAATTAATTGAAATTTCTTTTATTAATAAATACATGCTCTTTACAAAAAAAAATGAAATTTGAAAATGTATTGAATTAAAAATCTATAATGGAATAAAAATTCGAAATGTTGAATAATGAAAGCGATTGAGAGAAGAAATTGAAACGAAACATCAATTAATCATTTAGTTGCGAAATATTATGGCAAATGACTTTTCTGTATATTCTGGATATATCAAGGTTAAATGGTTAAAAATGGAAGTTATGTAATACTATAAATAAATGTGATGATCATGAAAGAATTATGTATATAGATGTTGGTGGTACGTTTGAAGATAATGATCCGATATTACATACCTTTTTATATCAGATAATTATTTGTTTTGTCATTCATTATATAAATGTTAATACTAAATTACTTATTTTCAAGAAATGTTTTGTTAAGAATATTTATTTTGCTTTTTAACAGTATTTGAAATATTCCTTGATTTTATTTCATTGTAGAACAATCATATCTGCTAAATTTATATACTTTGAAGGACAAAACACAGCTTCACATTTTGACAGATTAAATTGTTTGTTTGCTGTTGTTGTTGTTGTTGTTTTTTGTTGTTATTGTATTATTTGTTGTTATTTTGTGGGGTTTTTTTGTGTTTTTTTTTTCGTTTTTTTTGTTGTTGTTGCTGTTGTTGATTTTTTCTTGCATTACATTGGGTCATTATTGATACGCTCAAATCTAATTTTACATCTGATATATACATACAGTGTTGCCCTCACATGGTCACGTGACTGTTTATTATTATTTATTATAACAAATGTATTTATTTGTCTTATGTTCTTGCATTTTAAATATGCCAACTGGGATATATATTCAATAATCTGAATAAGGTTCAGGTCTTTGAACATACTGAGTTATAACAGTATAGAACCTGGCTTCAAGGTTTTTAAAAAAAAATTCTGAGTTCTGTTTGAAATTTCATGATTTTCATTTGTCAATAAACATTCTCTGGCAATTTCTGACCACTCAAATGCCTGAGATCTGAAAATGAGCTATGAGAATTTCTTTATAACTTAGACCCTGGTCAGATTGCACGCATTTGCTTAATGTCAAAATTTCGACTGCAAGACAAAGATTTCACAAACTGATATTACAAAGATGTCGGTCTTTGCGAATGGCGACTGTCATATATGTTACATGTATATATAATAAAGGCAGTTTGTTGGTTTAGGAATTCCTGGGCCTTGTTCTTTTCTGGGCAATTTTCGGTTCCAGCAAGTTACGTGCCATTACCGACTACCAATTCTAAAATTAAACAAATAATTCACACGAATCTTCAGCCATTATATCAGAAAATGTTTTGTATTTTTGCTCTATTATCTATCATTTTCCATCAATATTATATTGTAAATACTGTTCAATAATTCATTTGTATCATCGTATGACACTTTGCTACTTGTACTGTGTAGTAACGAAATCACTTTATCATTTACTGCAAGCCAATTCAATCTGCTTGTTATTTACCATATGCCAACAGCGTTGAATATAATTCGATGGTCTCCCTGTAAAATGCCGGACCTACATTTTTTTTCGATTTTGCGTTTTCGAAAATTTCCGAAGCTTCAAGTGCTCCCGCTTTTTTTGCCAGACTCATATTGTAGTCAGCCAATCTTAACTTTCAAAATTCATCACATGCAGAAAAGCCAACCTTTCATTGGCCAACTCTTTTAAATTAGAAAATGCCGTAGCTACACATGATGTAGCTCCGGTGTTAAAATATGATGTTATATTCACGGGCAGAAAGTCATATTGACCTCGGCTGCTGGTGAATATCACATCATATTCAATGGCTCACTATAGTCATTAATTGTATAATATTGTACGGAATCTGTGTCGTGGTTTCTGACAATGGTATTAAAATGGCAATCGCATGAAGAAGATTTGTTTCTGTAATATATATGCATAATTTTCTATTTTAGTGTATGTAATTTGTGACAATGTGCATTTTTGTCTCGACTTATATGAATAAATTTTTATATGTATGTTAAAAGTTTGTTTGTTGCTTTTTATATTGCTCTTAATTCTCAATATTAATGTTGCGTAGATCATAGCATTTCGTGGAAACTCATATGAATTAAATATATAGGTAATATAGTATTATTTTTTTCTGTAATTGTTAATAAAACGATAAATTTAACGATCTACAAGAGATCCTATGCTTTAGGATTTGTGTATATGGAAATAAAAGGCCTGTTTCCAATTTATGAATTGTATTGTACATCTCACACACAGACAATTTTGTTTGTTCGATTGATTTTACGCCTTTTCCAAACAGTATTTCAGTCATATAGGCGGTTAGTATCCTTACCATCGTTCCTGGAGAGTTACACCAGGACTAGACTACCTTCCTCCGCGCTAAACTACCAAAGCATCTCCCGGGGACCAAAGAGGTAACTGGATTGGAAGTAATCGACTCTAACCCCTCGACCACGGAGGCGGTACGTACAGACAAACAACTCAATATTCTATGTTATAAGTTTTATTTATTTATTTATTTATTTATTTATTTATTTATTTATTTATTTATTTATTTATTTTATTTATTTTATTCATTTATTTTTTATTTTATTTATTTTATTTATTTTATTTATTTTATTTATTTTATTTATTTTATTTATTTATTTCTAATATAGTTATAAATGAAATACAGAGAAATATTGATAAAATAAATGCGTAATTTCACTTCCGGTACTTAAAATTGTATAAAAAATATTTTTAACTATAGTGAAATATATTTCCCGTATATTTACTGGTGTGTTGTCAGGCTACTTTCTTCTAAATTCAACCCATACACAAAATTTATGAGGAAGTCTTTCCAATTGTATTGTCAAAAAAAAGAAAGAAAAATTTATATAATAAACACAAAATTAAAGTGTTTTTTATTCTAAAAATACAGGATTTATTTTTATCTTGCGGTCCTGTAATTTATATATTTATTTATATATTTGTCTTGTGGTGGTGATTGTTGTTGTTGTCGTTGCTGCTGCTGTTGCTGTTGTTGTTGTTCTTGATAAATGATAAGAAAAAACAGCAGACGTCTAATTGCTATATCAAGATTGTAATTAAAGTAATACACACTTTATCGAAATTACAACGCCTTCTGTCAGCAAGCGATTGTCGATAATGACAATTATCGAAAATTTATCGAAATCGAATTATCGAAAAGAAATCGTCTGAAACATAAAACCGTTAAACATAGATCATAAAATAATATAAACAATAATACTTTCTTGTTGTTTTTGTTGATTTTAGTAAAAGACATTAAAACAATAGAAAAAATCGTTTTCTTTAAATCATAAATTTATATAACTTTATTTGAACTTACTTAGGTTACTTTTTAATATCTTTGTAAAGAATCTATAAAAAGTAAACGAAATGCTGATTACCCTTAGAGATATTACTTGCAAAGTTTTATGTTATTTAATTTGTAATCTTAGATAAAAAAAAAAACAGTGCAAGTAATTAAAGCGAGGAGATTCCATCATTTTTTAGCTAAATAACGATCACTGAAGATTAAAAAAAGTTGTGAAATAAAATATTAGGTACACAATATAACGAATCCCTATCTTCATTTTGCAAAGTATTTTTGCAGAAATACTTTTATAAAAGCTATCAATTTTGAAATAAAAACAACATTTGATATACCACAGGAAGGCATCTGTTTGTTGTTTTTTAGTTATAAATCAAAACTGAATTAATTTTAATTGTAGAGGTCAGACATATGTACTTTAAACTATAATATATCAATGTATCTATTTCTAAACCTTTAACTTTCAGTTGAAAAATGAGAGTAACAATGATGTTTTGCTATAGATTTACATGCAACAGATTGTTGACCTTTATCGTTTGTGTGTTTGGATGGAAAAAATACAAAGGAGGGACTCAAAGTGTTTATTTTGTATGAATTTTAATTTTTTTTATTCCTTTTTGCAGAGACCATACCATTCAAACGTTGTCATAGATCGAACATAATTTCAACTCATTTTCGATATAACCTCGGTGAGTTATCAGTCATCCAGATATCTCACTCTTTAAAAAAAATACAATACATCTAAACAATCGTTATTTTATAGTTTTTTATTACTCCATAACAAATCAAAATGATAATACAAGCAATAAGTAAACTGATTTTTGTCATATTTTAATTCCTGGCACAAAGCAATATGTATTACAACCGGAGTTCCTTATCAATATTTACCATTCCGGTTAAAGGTGAAACATCTACAATTGGCATAAAACTGTTTCCGGTTCGCACGCGCCATTCGGTTGGCGATACAGAGGGTTTGATACAACGTTCATCACGTGATTCAAAGAGACATGACCTTGAAGATGTAGTACCGTTGGCACAGATACCATGACTTTCAGTCTGTTTTAAATATCGGCATTGCCCAGTATTAAATCGCCCCTCTTCGATTCTGTTTTCACTTCCGGTAAAACGACAGGAAGTAAAGAATTCATTGGCATTGTCTAAACTGGAAGGGGAATGTTCGTGTGCGTTGTCATCCTCTTCAACACTACTATTTCCTGTCTGTTCCGTATATTTGCCTTTTCTGGAATCTCTTCTTTCTTTTGCCCTCCGATTTTGAAACCAAATTTTAATCTGAAAAATATGAAAGCTTATGATTAATATGTAATGTATGTGCTAAAGGTTTGTCTTTGAAAAGTTATAGACTAATCTTATATAAGCACATTAAATTTGACGACTGTCGGACTTAACATTTTTGAAAATTAATAAATACATGTATTAAACATTTCTATTGATCAATCATAAAAAATATATGCACCTGTCTTGCAGATAAACCAAGGTCTTCAGAAATCTTTGATCTTATCTCAGTTGTAATAAACTTGTTTTTGTTGTATTCTTTTTCTAGACCACGTCTTTGTTTCTCTGTGTAAACTACTCTGTACTTTTCCCTGGTTCTCGTCATACCCGCAGCTGGTTCCGCCCGTTTTCGAGAATAAAACGGATGACTTCGATCTTTTCCGGGGGCGGATGGTGGGAGATGAAGATTGGTTCCAGTGTCAGCGTTGAGTTCACAAAGATTCTGAATACACTTTTGTGTAAACGCCCATTGATAGTTAGTTTGCTGAGTTTCGTGTTGATACTGATTATTATTTGGTAGATAGGTTCCTGGCATGAAATTATGTCCACCACTTGACAAGAGGTTACTTATTTCTGTAGGTACGGGGACATTAAAACCTATTCCAGGAAAACATTCTCTTCCAAAATATGATTCGGTCCCATGTCTTTGGATATTCATGACGTCACCTGTGTAAGGATGGAATCGTCTGTGAGCATATGTCGGTGCATTGGTCTGCTTATAAGCATGCATAGGTTCGAACGAAGAAGTATTTCCGCTTTGCATTCCAATGGACGCATAGTTTTCGAGTGAAGCAAACATTTTCATGAAATTAATATTTAAGTGAAAGTAATAACTACTCAGCTACAGCAAAAAGTTTAATTATATAATTATTTAGTTATATATAACACTAGTATTTGCTCGTAGTGAAGAAAATGATATGTTTGAAAAGTACAAGAATTGTGTTAGCTTATATACCAAGACAACAGACAGATAAATTCAAATTCACAAGAACTGATCTTACTATAAAGAATATCTTCCCTGTAGGCCATGTTGGTTTCAGGGGATAATTAATTTATAATCATATGCCCTAATTTATTGTTTAAATTAAACGGTTTAATAAATCACTCGGTCAATTTTCGATAAATTGTTTATTTTGAGAGTCGATTTAATCGGAATTTGCCGAAATCACACGAACAATTTTGATAAATTGCGTTTACAAGTAATTTACACGACGTATTTATTGCTATTAATAGTCTATGCCTATTATAAGATAACAATTTTTGTTGATGGATAATTTTTAAATGATATGTATGAAAATATGTTTTTCGTTTAATATTTCTTGAAATCTAATTTTCTGATATATTTTTTTTTAACTTTTAAAGCAGTTATTATTTTTGAACATTGAAATAGAACACTTTACGATGAACAAAAGACGAGCATAATAATTTTTATTATACGGGTTTTTTTTTTTTTTTTTTTTTTTTTTTCTCAAATAAATTTTTGCTTTAAAAAAAAATTTTTTTTTTTTTTTTTTTTCTCAAATAAATCTTTGCTTGAAAAAAAAATGAAAAATATCACCGTCTTCTATATCAAATGACGAACACTATTCTATTTATTATAAACAAAGAGAACAAGGAAATATAAAAATAAAAGGGAAGCATCTGGTATACATGGAAGTTTATTTTTTAAAGATCATATAGTAAAAAAACCACATTGGACTTTTACCCTTTTTATGATTTTGTTTTAATTTCAAAAAGCAAAAATAAATAAATAAATGACTTTTAACATTTAGTAGAATGTCTAAGATTTCCATATACATGTAAGTTATAATTACGTAATATTTGAAATATATATTCGACCTGGTGTAATAAAAATGTAACCTTCTAGCATTTTTTTATATACTGATATACATGTATAATGTAAATACTTTATATGTGCAAATACATGTTGCGTTTATACAGGGAATGTATTACATAAAACAGTATTATATTTTATTTACAAATTAATTTTTGTCTGTGTGCCCGTTTATAATTTATGCGTAAGTTCAATATAGAGAATATATAAAAAATATACATGTATCTGTAAATGATAAATATAAATAATTTTTATTAGTGATATATATAAATAACATTTTTAAATAATAATGTAAAACAAATGATGTTTATAAATATTTTCAATTTGACAAAAAATGATAATAAATATGTTTTTATTTTTAATGTAATATTCATTCATTCTCAATTTCAAATTTTACTTAACATATTTATTCTTATTTATTTTACATCTTTTTTCTCTGTTCTTAATATTAATTACAGATCAGCAGACCATAAATAGCAATTAGCTCGTCGTGTAAATTATTTGCGTACGCAATTTATCAGAATCTTTCGTGCAATTCCGGTAATTTCCGATCAAAATAGCGTATTGAATAAGATTTATCGAAGGTTAATCGAGCGTTTCATTAAACAGTTTAACTTAAATCATAAATTAGTTTAAACAATAGGTAAATAATTAACCCCTGAAACCAACAAAGTCTAGCGAGAATATGGAATTCAATTAAAGATACAGTCACGTGACTTTGATATTTATCTGTCTCCTAAATGTGTATATAAGATGGGAAATATCTGTAAATTTTCAAAAAAGCATTATCCTCCATCATAGAAATATATATATATATATAGTTATCACTTTAGTTTGCGGTGACTTTATTTCGTTCAGAAATAATTTTCAAAATGTCTGCTTCACACGAAAACTTTATGCCTCTTGGACCTTCGAGCGGAGTGAATTCTATGTTCGAACCTATAGCTGCTGGGAAGCCGACAAATGCATTAACATCCGGACAAAATCGGTTTCATCCGTACACAGGTCATCTAATAAACAGACAAAGAAATTTGTACGAAGCATATTATGCGAGCGGATATTATCTACCAAGCCTCCAGAATATACATGTACCTGTTTCTTCTGAGGTAGGTACTTCGTTGCCCGGATGTGGAAATAATTTCAAACAAGGCACCTTTCTATCAAATTATCAACCATATTACAATGAAATGCAGCAGACGAATTATCAGTGGGCGTTTACACCGAAAAGTATTCAGAATTTATGCGAGCTCAACTCGGAGCCCGGAACAAACTTTCTGACAACATCATTTGCTCCCCTGACAGCATCATCTGCTCCCGGAAAAGACCGAAGTCATCCGTTCTATTCTCGAAAACGACTGGAACCAGCTGCAGGAATGACGAGAACCAGGGACAAATACAGAGTGGTTTACACTGAGAAACAAAGACGTGGTCTGGAAAAGGCATACAACACAAACAAGTTCATTACGACAGAGATAAGGTCGAAGATTTCAGAGGAACTTGGTTTATCTACAAGACAGGTAAATATAATATTGGTTTCAATATCAATAGGGAAAATTAAATGATTAGATTGTTTTTTGCTGTTCCTTTTAACTTAACAACGTTTATTCCATTAAAGGCTTAAAATGAAATTGTAAATACGTACTGTATTTAAATAATGTCTGCTTATTATACATATAGTTATATTTGATTGCAAATTGTACTATAATATTAAACGTATACGATATTTTATTAATAATTATTATACAATTACATGTATTTATTACAGATAAAGATTTGGTTTCAAAACCGTAGAGCCAAAGAAAGAAGAGATTCCAGGAAGGAAAACTATACGGAACAGACAGAAAATAGTAGTGCGGAAGAAGATAACAACAAATATGAAAATTCTCCTTCCAGTCAAGACAATTCGAAAGATTTTTTAACTTCCTGTCGCTTTACCGGAAATGAAAACTTATCCGAAGAGAGGCGCTTCATGCCTGGACAATGTCGCTTTTCAAACCAGTCTGAAACTTTCAGAATCTCTGTGAATAACACTGAACAGCCAAGTTCTTGTCTCTTTGAGTCACGTGACATACAATATTTTCGACCATCAACATCACCATCCGAATGGCGCATGCCCACCGGAAGTAGTGTGTTACCGACTGTAGATGTTTCACCATTAACAGGAAATGCAAACTTTGATTTTGATCTGAGATTATGATATTATACAATAGGAAAGAGTTTATAAAAATTGTGTATCATTTTATTGTTCTTTTTTCACTTTGCTTGACTAAAAACTAATAAACAGCTTAAAATGCAATGTTCTGTCATTATTAATTTTGTACATCTTAACTTTTTTTAATACATGTATATACATATGTGATCTCGGTTGCCTTGACTCTTATGACCCCTAACTCTATCTAGTGCTATAGAAAGAAAAATAAAAAAAAGAAAAAAAGAGAAAAAGAGAAATGGAAGCAAAATCTGCACGGTGGAGTGATCTTCGCAAACGAATAAAAAAACAAAAGAATAGAAAAAAAATAAATAATAAACCTAGAGAATAAAAAGAGAATATAAAAATAAGCACTGAAAAAAAAAAAAGAAAAAAGAAAAACCAAAAATATAAAGAAAAAGCGACTGCCACTGAAACTCTATCAAAGAAAAAGAAGAAAATATTAACTGCTATAGTAAAAGTCCTTATAATCGAGACATCGGTTCAACGCACGAAGGCTGTATATGAACAAAAGTTTTAAATCAAATATATTTTTAACATCTGTGACCTTGGCCTTGACCATGGCCATGTCACCTCAGAAAGAGGCATGCAAGATATTGGAAATATCGGTCAAAGAAAGTACATTGGGTTTTCTTTGTTCAGAAGCTTAAGCACAAATTTAGAATATTCTTTTATAACATTTTTATCATTTTGTATTGCAAAAATAAAAAAATATTGTCGCAAACACAAGTGGTCTCACGATGTCCCCATCTGTTTGTGGTTGTGAAATTCTTTACGTCTGATACCAAAATATCATATGCGGAGATACTGTTATTTTTCACCCTAGTCAAGCCTAAGAATAACATATGCGTGGCTTACTGCTATCAATTTAAGATATTCTTATTTCAGACATTTGCAGCGTTTTATTCACTTATATAATAACTGTCATGAAACAGCAGTTCCAGTCGTAGAAAAATACAGCCATTCCCATATGAGACATATTCCTAAGAATATGAACGATACCTGGCCATCAACTCAACAAATATGGTTATATGAGCCAACTTCATATTATCTGCGAAGAATGATATAGAATGTAAACAAGACCCCTTTTGACTAACGCTATCCTCAATAAAAAGGAAAAAATCTGTTCTTTATCATTTTCTGAATCTTACGATGTGCTATAATGTATTTTATATTTCATCAGTATTATTAGTATTATACAAAATTGTAAAAAGAAACCGATGTTTGGCTAAGATTTCATTCCAAATTCGCCTCTAAAAACATGAAAAGAATGCTCGTGCATGTCGGTCGTGCAGATGAAAAATATGTGGCAGGTATCAGTCCGACTTGCATAATCTTATCAGTCAGTCAAGCTCATCCGAAATATATGACCATTCATGCATACAATGGTCTCATTGGTTTCCCGTGCATCAAAATTGTATCATCACAAAAATCGACTTGCATGCATATTTAGTACCATTCAGTGAATTACTGAATTCAAAATGTCACCTTTTGGTAGATAATAACATTTAAGCATGTCCGGGGTCCGTACTCTCAGTGCCTGAAAGGGACTCTCATTATGCCTAGAATACATACAAAAAACATACATACATACATACATACGTACATACGTACATACGTACATACGTACGTATACATACGTACATACATACATACATACATACATACATACATACATACATACATACATACATACATACATACATACATACATACATACATACATACATACATACATACATACATACATACATACATACATACATACATACATACATACATACATACATACATACATACATACATACATACATACATACATACATACATACATACATACATACATACATACATACATACATACATACATACATACATACATACATACATACATACATACATACATACATACATACATACATACATACATACATACATACATACATACATACATACATACATACATACATACATACATACATACATACATACATACATACATACATACATACATACATACATACATACATACATACATACATACATACATACATACATACATACATACATACATACATACATACATACATACATACATACATACATACATACACACATACGTACAATCGCACTCAAATGAGGACATCAACCATAATACCTTCGAATGGGAACAGGCATTTGTAGTATAGATTCCTTGACAAAAAATTAGGACAAACTGCTAGAGACTTGCATCGATGTGTTTTGATGTTTTCTATGTTGCTATCACCACTGATTCTTTATCAGTCATTTAACCTCTTTTTGGGGACATCGTATACCAAAAATGGAGTTTCCTTTAGTGAGAAAGGGGTATACACAAATCTAAAATGAGTAAACATTACCACGTGCAAGAGGACCCACCAAAATACACTCGTCTACTTAGAACATTTAAGCATGGGAACATTTTTAAAAAGAATAAATCTAATGAATATAATTATACAATGATGTCTCCGTTTGAATAACAACTTTTACTTAATGCTTGATGTCGTTGTACTACGTTTATTTTTAGTTGGTATCCAATGCATTTTGGTCCTTGGGCACTGCAAAATCCTTACCTCTCTCAGGAAATGAATTTAGTTTATGTCTGTTGTCTTTGAAATGTTAGTCTTATGTCCTAGGATTCATGCATCTAGAACTTTCTATGATACGTATGTAGCGCCGCTAAATGGTGCACTTGACTTTAAATGTCGCATAGCTGACTCTAAATTTCGCAAGGAAATCTAAATGTCGCTATTGCAGTATCGCTCAATGACGCATTTCCAACTCTAAATATCGCACACAAAATCCGTTACTGGATTCCGACCCTCTACCGGACATGACCACCTACCGGACATTTTTCTTTTTAGCGTCGTTGTTACACTTAAAATCTTAAGAGATGCTTGTTAACTGTTCATAACATCGGAAATTATTTTTCTATTCTTTACAATTTGTTTATATGTCCAGTTGATACTTGTTCATATAAGCCATATTTTATGTCAGTGACTTGGTATACAACTGGGGATATATATACATGCGTGGGTTTGGGTTCTGTGCACGTATTGATAATACATGTACATACAACTATCCATTATGTAATAGAAAGAGCACCGAAACACGAGGCTATCTGATTTGTACGAGGGGGCGTAGCCCCCGAGTATTAATCAGATTGCCGAGTGTTTTGGTGTTCTTTCCTCTTTTGTATCATAGTCAACATAAAAAACGCGTTCCTTGTTTCACAATATGAAACCCCAGAAAAAAGTAACCAATGAACGAGCATCTGAATATCATATTTCTGTCGCGTTTCGTTTCTCTGCCGTCACAATAAGTAAACCCCAGCAAAAATGAACCAATCAATGGGCGTGCTCAGGAGTGCGGGTAATTAATACCTGCACTCCAGTTTATGCACTGTGCATGTATATGTATAAGATTTAACTGACGCATTTTCAACAGAAAGGTCTCCAAACTATGATACAAGAAAAATATATGGAACATGTTAATAGTAAGAGAAACTCACCAAAGTGTCTAGTGTTCGGCACAGAGCGCCTATCACATGATGGAGAGTTTTCGGAGTTTCTGCTTTAGATATAAATATGAATTGAAAAATATCTGTATCAAGATAAAAATCAAACCTTGGATCGAGATCAGTATTTGGATCACACTTTAAATGTGCATTTCTAGTAGTAAAGTTTTAAAATTTTCATGAACTAATGCCATTTCATGCGCTCTTTTATTGTAACATTAAATACTACATCTCTTCAAATAAACAACTAATAAATTTTGATCCTGATATTGATCCTGATTCATATATGTCAGTGAACACGGACCTTCAGCGCTCACAGTGCCCTGATTATTATTCCGGGAACTCAGTATGTCATCTGAGTTTCTAAAAATCAGACCGGTTATTTAATTAAAATGGACGCAATCGCAATTAGGGAGGTAGAGAAAACTGAATTAATTCTCATATTGAATAGCAGATATTTTCATAAATAATATTTGTGTGTCCGAAGTCAACAAAACGCCCAAAAATCTTCATTTCCAAATGATGCTCTTCCATATCTACCCCCAGTCCCGCTGATCAGAAAATTTTGAAATTTGGGTAATAAATGGTACGACATATGCATATCTTAAACGGCGTTAGAAACATTTGAACGTGTTTCTGATACTGATCAAGTCATTACACGGAAACCCAGGCCTGAATTTGTGACTCTTGTCAGTGGTTGTTGAAAGTAATTTTTCAGTATTTGCCAAAAAAGTAACTCACCCCTACCTTAAAAATACGTAAGCTGCTTATTGTTATATCTTTAGCTGAGTCATTGACAGCTTTACTCACAGAAGAGATTAATGGAACAGATATACATGTACTAGTGTATTTAAACATTGACCATGCATTAAAAAATACAACTACATACATATACAATTCAAAATGCTATTAAAAGCCGAATGTTTGCCTACGTATAAGTAAAACCGAACCGGTTTGCTCTGCAGTAAGAACTATACAACCACCAGACAGATCGAGTATAACATAATAATTTTAAAGTGAATAGGTCTATAATGTTATATCTTCAATACCCTAAATAATCATGTTGATAGTGTTTAGTATAATACATGTCAACAATAAATGAAGAAATAAAATATGGATGTTGTCAGTAAATATGAGATAAGTCATCCGATTTTAGAGATCAGTATAATTATTGTAGATAATACAATGTTCTAGAACACAATATTATTATTTGTCATATAAACGTTGATAAATCCTCACATAGGACTAAAAAATGAATTTTTAAAGAAGTATTCCATAAGAATATTTAAATGATGTAAATTTATTGTTTTCATCAATATTTGAAACACATATTGGTAAATGTGTCTAAAGTAGACCAATCCACTTTAATAAGCAATGTCTTGAAGTTACAATTAAAGGTTTTAATTGATAATCACATTATGTGCATTGGATTTTAAAATGAGAAAAAAGTCAAAATGCTGTCACGGGCAAAGGATACATTCGCTATGAATTCGTTTTTATCTTTGTGTTTCATCATTCAAATTTCATAATAAAGAAATACCTAGAACGATGTGTTTTGTCACATTTAAATTTTCTAAAATTATT